TGAGGTATACTTGACATATTAAATGATATTACTTTCAGGTGTAGAACATTATGAATTGATATTTGCAAAATGATCAGCACAATCAGTCTAGTTAACATTTTTTAGCATTCATGGTTATTAATTTTCTTGTGATTAAAAACTTTTAAAATCTACTCTCTTGCCAAGCCAGTGTGGCTCAGTGGTTGAGTGTGGACACATGAGCCAGGAGGTCACAGTTTGATTCCTGGTCAGAGCACATGCCCGGGTTGCAGGATCAATCCCCAGTGGGCGGGGAGGTGCAGGAGGTAGCCAATCGATGATTCTCTCTCTTCATGGATGTTTCTAGCTCTTTCTCCCTCTTCTTTTGTCTCCAAAATAAAAAAAATAAAAAAACATATTAAAGATCCACTCTCTTAGCAACTTTCAAATATGTGATACAGTATTTTTAACTGTAGTCATCATGCTGTACATTATATTCCCATGACTCATTTCTTTCATAACTGGAAGTTTGTATCTTTTGACCCCCTCACCCATCTTGCCCACCTTGCACACCCCACCACTGGCTACCACCAATGTGGTTTTTGTTTTTTGTTTGGGGGGGGGGTTCCAGATATAAGAGAGGTCATATGGTATTTGTCTTTGTCTGACTCATCTCACTTAGCATAATGCCTTCTAGGTCTGTGTTGTGATAGATGAAAAAGATGTACTTCTTTTTTTTTTTTTTTAGCTGTATACACATGAATTCTTTTTTTCCTTTTTTTCCCTTTATTAATTAAGATACTACAAATGTGTCCTTATCCCCCCTATTACTCTCTCCCCCCCATTCCTGCCCTCACCCTCACCCCCTGTTGTTAACATCCATCGCTTATGCCTATATGCATGCATACAAGTCCTTTGGTTGATCTCTCCCCCTCACCCCCACCCTCCCCTATCTTCCCTCTGAGTTTTGAGCATCTGATCAATGCTTCTCTGTCTCTACATCTGTTTTTGTTCATCAGTTTTTGTTGTTCATTATAATTCACATGTACTTCTTTTTTATGGCTGAATAATATTCAGAGGGAAGGGTGTGTGTGATGGATATGCAGGTTGTGTTCATACCTTGGGTATTATAAATAATGCTGCAATGAACATTGTTGGTGCACATATCTTTTCAAGTTAGTGGGGCTTTTTTCAGATAAATATCCAGAAGTGGCATTGCTGAGTCATTAGGCAGTTCTATTTTTAATTTTTGAGGAACATCCACACTGTTTTCCACAGTGGCTATGCCAATTTAAATTTCCACCAGCAGTGCACAAGAGATTTCTTTTCTCCACATCCTCACCAACACTTGTGTGGTCTTGTCTTTTCGTTTATTTATCCTTTAACAGGTATGAAGTGATATCTCATTGTGGTTTGAATTTACATTTCCCTGATATTAGTGATGTGGAGCACCTTTTCGTGTACCACTTGGCCATCTGCATGTCTTTGGCAAAATATTTATTCAGATCCTCTGTCTGTTTTTTAATTTAATGTTTTATGGGTTTGGGAGTTTTGTCTTCATTTTGCTATGGAGTTTTATGAGTTCTCTATGTATTTTGAATATTAACCCTTATCAGATGTATGATTTGAAATATTTTCTCTCTTTCAGTAGTTTGCCTTTTCATTTTGTTGATGGTTTCCTTTGCTATGCAAACGCTTTTTAGTTTGATGTAGTTCCACGTGTTTATTTTGCTGTCTTTACTTTTGGTGTCATATAAAAAAAAAAAAACACAAAAAACCATTGGCAAGACCCATGTCAAGGAGCTTATCACTTATGCATTTATCCAGGAATTCTGTGGTTTCCAGTCTTACATTCCAGTCTTTAATCCATTTTGAGTTAATTTTTGTGTATGCTATACTGTAAGATAGTGATTCAGTAACACTCTTTTGCAATGTTAGTGTCCAGTTTTATTTCAACACCATTTATTGAAAAGACTGTCCCTTTCCCTTTTGTATTCTTGGCTCCTTTGTCATAAATATATTGACCATTATATGAGGGTTTATTTCTAAGCTCTGTATTTTGTTCCATTGATATGTGTCTGTTTTTATGCTAGTACCATACTGTTTTGATTATTATAGGTTTGTAATATAGTTTGAAATCAGTGAGCAAGATATCTCCAGCTTTGTTCTTGTTTCTCAGTAATGCTTTGG